TCTCGTACTCATTGCTGTTAGCTCCCCATTTCCCCCCAAACCTCCCTGGCCAGGCCCCAAGTCATTATGAATCCAGTTAATGGCCTTTGAGATTTACTTATCCTGGATTTCATATACAGAAAATCATGCAAAACACAAAGAAACCAACAACAACTGCTAGACAAAACATTAAGAAAAACCTCAGTCAAAAAGAAAGCAGAAAATATTAAAGACGGAAACAAGTTCAAAATGGGTCAGAAGAGAGATCAAATGGCGCGGTGTTGCACCTTCACTAACGACATCTGCCATCATCAACTTTATAGCGCTCTCCGCCTGATAACAAGGTCCCCAAGTCTAGGACTGCGCTCAGAGGAAGTTCCCCGGAGGCTTCATTTCTATGTGGAGCCTGCAAATGGATCTTTTTTTCAATCCTGAACATGGTAGCTTTATTAAGTTATGTGTCCTCGCTTGGTCTGTCTGTATGCCAGGGTGTCACATGTCACACCCTTGGGGACACCTCCTCATGTTTGTCTTGGGCATATTACAGTGGAGCTCGGTTGTTAAATAAATCCACCCTCCCCCCACCACCCCCCAAATGGGTAGCTGACTCTAAAAGAAACCAGAGACTCTGAATAAGACTGATAGTATAACCCTAAAGCCATCTTAGCTGACCCAAGCCCTGGTATTTCCCATCGCCTGAGGTGCTTGAGAAAGGAACAAGGACCCAGGAAGGCTGCGGAAGAAGGGGTGCCTGTGAAGGATGGTGCTGAAGAACACCCAATGGACCACGGACTTCCAGAAGCACAACAAACCCCGTCTGAAAGAAGCAATAGCCACCTTGCCCCTTGGAACTGCCTCTGGTTCTTGAGGCATGTTACCAAGAAGGACCCGTCCCTGAAGAGGACATCATACTTGATAGAGGGCCAGCAAAAAAGAGGGAGGCTCTCAGCAAGATGGATCGTCACAGTGGCAGCAAACATGGGCTCAAACGTCCAACACTTGTCAGGATGGTGTAAGACCAAGAAGTGTTCTTTCTGGAGTACCTGGGGTCACTATGAGCCAGAACAGACTCAGTGACATCTAACAACAGTAACAACAACAAAAAGCAAGCACTTAAAAACGCGGTGCCCCGGAACGTGCCTTAATCTGGGGAAAATGCAATGCTAAGAAGGCCTCTCTTCTCGTCTGTCGCACGTCATCAGTCATATCAGAAGGTAAACATAATGCTGAGCTATCAGCTCTACCTCCACATGCACCCCAGGATTCAAAATGATCAGGAGGATCTATGGGTTATATCCCTGTCATTCATAAAGAACTGTGAAATGTATCCCAGGCCTTGAAGTAACGGCTAATCATCCAGACCAATAGCCATTTTGATTAGAAGGGCATTGGAAAACATTGAGACCAAAACAAAACCCAAAACCACCTTTGCTGTACACCTGAATGAAAGAACAGATCTTTCTAGCATCTCTGGGTGTTTGCAAGTGTGATTTCAACAATAAGTATATGAAGAACTGTCCTTTGTTGGGGGGGTTGTGTGTGTGTGTGCGCACGTGCGTGCCACGACAGACAAGAGAAGCAGTCAACTACAAGGCGGGCAGTTGGAACCCAAGCTTTCTCTCCGATGATCGTTGGCTGTCATCGTGGGCGACCTGCAGGAGCTTTGTAAGATCTTCCTGGGTGACGCCAACCCCTTCAGGCTCTGAGCCGCTAGCGGGATGGGGAGATTGCAGACTCCACCCCGAGGGGCCTGGCAAGAAAGGCCTGGGGGATCTCCTTCCCGAAAGGCAGCCAGTGAACCCCGGTGGAGCCCGGTCGGTCTGGCACACATGGGCCCGTGACCTGGGTTGACCTGAAGGCCCCCGTTTGGGGTTTGTTTCAGAACTTTTCAAAGGAGGATGGACACACCATCTTTCCCGGCAAAGAAAAGGAGATGATTCCTTTGTTTGGGGGGAAGAAAGCACCCCCCACCCCCCGTGTTTCTGTCAAGGCAGGGGAGAAGCTCTAGAAGTAACCAGGGCGCGTGTCAGCACCCCGGCACGGAGTTCCGCTTCTGTGTTGTCAGGGGTTTGTCAGGGGTCTCCCCAGCCGCATCGCCGCAGACTGGAAGCAGGGCTCCTTTCACGAGGCCTGTGGGGGGGATGGAGCCTTGGTTGCTGAAAGCCGTATCCATTTGCAAACTTGAAAGACTTGGAAAATGGAATTTTCCATCTTAAAAACCTTCCCGAGACAGCTCTTCTGTGAACTTGAACCCGTTTGTGAAAAGAAATACGATTAGAATCACAACTCACTGATGGATTTGTGAGCCCAGCCACCCAACCTCGGGAAGGATGGAAGCACCCTAGCTGGATCTCCACAGCAGTCTCGCGCACCCTTGGAGACGGGCGTGAGAAACGGGCGCCGTGGTTTTAAAGGTGCTGTCAGCAGGGAGCCTCTCTCCCATTGAGAGTGTGGTTTGCTTGGTTGGCTCTGACAGCCCTGAAAACCCATTAACAAAATAAATGGAACGGAGAACCAGGCTGCAAATGGCTGCTGCCCAGATGTTTGAAAAAACAAGAAAATAGCAGTTACGTAAAATGTAACCGTTCTGGGAAAACCTGGTGGCGAGAGCTCTCTGTACTATTTTCGCTACGTCTGTATGTCTAAAATTATTTCAAAATCAAAAGCAACAACAGAATAATAATCAAAGACATTTAATCGTGCTTAATATGAGGGGACTTCAAAAAGTCCCCACCCCCCACAGGGAATCCAGGACAGATGAACCCCTCAGAACCAGTGGTGAGGGTGGCAATACTGGGAGGGTGGAGGGAAGGTCGGGTAGAAAGGGGGAACCGATTACAAGGATCCACCTATAACCCCCTCCCTGGTGGAAGGACAACAGAAAAGTGGGTGAAGGGAGACGTTGGATAGTGTAAGACATGACAAAATAATAATAATTTGTAAATCATCAAGGGTTCATGAGGGAGGGGGGAGCGGGAGGAAGGGGAAAAAGTGAGGAGCTGATACCAAAGGCTCAAGTAGAAAGCAAATGTTTTGAGAATGATGATGGCAACAAATGTACAAATGTGCTTGACACGATGGATGGATGGATTGTGATAAGAATTGCATGAGCCCCATATAAAATGATTTTTTAAAAAGCCCCATCCCCCCCAAATGCTACTATCTTCTCATTCTGTTTTCCCTCAAACTTTTTTCAGTGCCTTTAATGGTCTACTATATGGATACAGTACAATACAATATTATAATATATAATATTGTAACTCTGTCTACATTTTAGGAGTCCCGGTGGCATAGTGGATTAGCATTGGGCTGCTAACCTCAAGGTTAGCAGTTCAAACCCCCAGCGACTCCATGGGCAAAAGATGAGGCTTTCTGCTCCCATAAGGATTTACCATTTCAAAAACCCACAGGGGCAGTTCTACTATGCTCCGTAGGGTCACTGTGAGTTGGCATCAACTCAATGGCAGTGACTCTCCTTCTGAGTCTCCTGTTTTAACCAGGATCGGATCTACATTATCCATATAGTTCTAAATAGCATAACTCTAGACACATCATACATGTGTCTATACCAACTCACACGTAGGAATGTCTGAGAGGTTGGCAAGGCCAGGCAGCATTTCAGACATTGATGCCTGAGACAGCTGTGAGCTAGAGCAGTCGAACCACAATAGCAATGGTTCCCATAGCGGTACTAGAAAGTTTTAGCAGAAGCCACATGGCCAGTGAGGCTAAAGGAAGGGATTACAGCCGAGGAGGCCCAGCTGCCTAGAGACATGGCATGGGGGGCAGGGTTCACAGTCCATGCGTGGACAAGGTATCTCGAAAGCACCCCACTTCTCAACCAGGGCTGTGGTCATCATTTCTTTTAAAAGAATTAATTCTAGACTAGTCCCAAGCCCAGCCCTGGTGGCACAGTGGTTATGCATTGTGCTGTGATCTACAAGTCCCACAGTTTGAAACCACTAGCTCCTTCTTGGGAGAATGATGGGGCTTTCTACTCCGATAAAGTTATAGTCTTGGAAACTCACAGAGGCAGTTCTACCCTGTCCTATACGGTCGCTGTGCGTCAGCATTGACTCGACGACAGTGAGTATGTATTATATATAATTATATATATAAACTGCCCCAAGGTCACAGCAGGTCTTCTTGCTTCTGCACCAAAGCTCAGTCAGGAAATCGGGGCCTGGCTTTCCAGGTGAGAAGTATAGCAGAGCCGTACGGTGGTACAGCCAAGGAAACACAGGGCAGTGTCTTAAGACCCCTCCTCTACTCAGGTAGGGCTAAAAATGCCCCCAAGGAGACTAAGGATGTGACTGGTTCAGAGCCTCTACCGAAAAGCCCAAACCAAACTCATTGCCATGGCGTTGCTGCTGACTCATGGCGACCCCGGAGGGCAGGGTAGAACTGCCCCTGTGCGTTTCCGAGACTGTAGCTCTTTGTTGTTCTTGTGGTGGTTAGGTAGGTACCCTGGAGTCAGTTTCAACCCAGAGCGACCCTATGCACGATAGAATGAAACACGATGCGATCTGGGCCAGCCTCGCGATTGTGCCCGAGGCCCTGGTTGCAGTCACTGTGTGAGCGTCGAGGGTCTCCCTCTCTTTCACTGCCCCTCTGCTTTACCAAGCGTGACGTCCTTCTCCAAGAACTGGCCTCTCCTGACAACACGTCCGAAGTACGTGAGACGAAGTCTTGCCCACCTTGCCCCTGAGGAGCACTCTGGCTGTCCTTCTTCCAAGCCAGATAGGTTTGCCCTTTTGCCACCCGTGGAAACTCTTTTCGGGAGCAGAAAGCTCCGTCTTCCTCCCGTGGTTTGGTACTGCTGACTTTTCGGTTAGCAGCCCAGTGCATAACCACTCCGCCACGAGGCTCCCCATGAGTAGAGGGTGCCCTCCAAACGGGACTGCAGCCGCAGGGACAAAAAGTGCGGATTATCATATAGCACATGAGGGATCGTGGACTACAACTCAGATGACAGAGCCCAAGGCCCGCCAGTGAGACCTCTCCCTACCCTCTCTTCCCAGCCTCCCCAGTGATTGAAAATGGCCAGGTGGAGTGTCCCCAGGGCTACAAGAGACTGAATCTCACTCACTGCCAAGGTAAGGGGAGCGGTAGTAGCCCTGGTCCTGCTGGAGGGGCGGGATGGAGCCCTGAAGAGGCAGGTGCTCCAGCCTCAGCCCCACGGGCTGACCTGTGCTGCCTGGGTGGTTTCCACGGTGCCTCCTAGGGGGACTTTGGGAGCTAGTGGCTCCAGGGAAGAATGGTAGAAGGAGCTAGGGAGGGGCCTGGGAGCGGGGACCCTCCGCTCTCCCCGTCTCCACTCACCCCCACTCAGGATGTGGGCCAGGTGCCTCTTAAGGACTGGGTGTCGCCTTCACCTTTGACCTCATCTGTCTTGTCACCGTGCTCCCGAGAGGCGCCATGAGAGGTTGTCTGCATCTTACAGCAGAGGCAATGGAGGCGCAGAGGGCTCATTTGATTGTGTTGGTGGTTTTCTCTGGAGAAAGGATTTGAAGGGCCCTGCCTCCCCCCTCTCCCCTCCATCAGGCCTGGGGGGCTGGTGGGAGGGGCTGGGCTGTGGGGGAAGCTGGACCGCCCTCTCCCGGCTGCAGATATCAACGAATGCACGGTCCTGGGCCTCTGCAAGGACTCGGAGTGCGTCAACACCCGGGGCAGCTACCTGTGCACTTGCAGGCCCGGCCTCATGCTGGACCCGTCTCGGAGCCGCTGTGTGTGTGAGTGCCTGCCCAGGCCCCTGCTACTTCAGCTGTTTCTTCCGCCTTTGCGCCTATTCCTTCCCGGGGTTCCCCGTGGAAATCCTTTCGGTGCCATTTGCTGCCTCATTTCCTTCGGGGGCTTTTGTGTCGCCTCTGCCATCTGCCTGGCCGAACTGTCGCTGCCTCTCTGTCCCCAGCTTAGTGGCCCGGCCGCTTGGCTGCAGTCCTGTGGCAACATGGGACCTGTCGGTACATCCCCCTCCCATAACCCTGCCATCTCACGTGGTTCAGAGCCTAGGGCACAGACAGGTCCCGCATTGCCCCACGTGCTGTCTGTCTCTGGGCCTTCAGAGGATGGTGCAGGCACATGGCACAGTTCCCAGGGACCTCAGTGATTTCCAGCTGGATAAAGCCGGCCGAAGCCTCTTCCCACTCCCCACCCCCATGCAGACCTCCTGCCCTGGCCCAGCCAGGTCCTTCCTGGGGCAGGGAGGCTGGGCCAAAGCCTTGGCCTCTGAGAGGCACAGCCAGTCCTTCTCCACAGCTCAGCAGTGCCCCCTGTGGCCGGCCAAGCCCCAGCTTCAGCTGCTGGATCCAGGTGCCCCCACTCTCGCCCACTTCTCCCGCACCGGTGAAGGGGGAGGGGAGAGTGGACCCAGGGGGCCTCCCTCTAGTGAGTGAGGTGGGAGGGGGCTCCAGAGTTCCAGAGTGCTGGAGAACAGGACGAGGTGAGGTGCTCCCCGGAAGCCAGCAGGGTGGCGAAGACGCCGAGGGCACATCATACTACAGTCTGCCCACTTTGTTGAAGCCAAAAAAGGCCAAACCTGTGCGTGAGCCCATTCTAACTCCTGTGCACGCCCTGTGCGTCCAGTAGATCTTCTCCTGCAGCGTTCGGTCATCTGTAGGGCAACACTGCCAGGCCTTGCTTCCGCAGCAGGTTCAAACTGGGTGGGCTTGAACTGCCAGCCTCTCAATTACAGAGCCGAGAGCCCATTGTTTGTGCTGCCCAGGGACCCTCCTACCTCGCTTGTTAGGTGCCCATCAATTCAGCGTCAACCCTACACACCCGGGTCTTCGCCAACCTCAGAGCTGTTATGTTTGAGTCGCTGTGTCAGTCCGTCTCCCTGAGGGGCTTGGATTCTCCTAGGATCCCTTTATCAGGCCGGCGTGTTTGGCATCTGATCCGCTTCTAATGAATTAGTGCAGGACAAGACCCTGTTTCAGCTGATGAAGGGAAGCAGGGGAGCCCTCAGATCATCTTGTTTTTCCTCTTCCCTTTATTCTTCATTTCTGGACTTTGCCCTCCCTCTCTGTCACCTGGCCACAGGCAAGACAGCACCTGCAGGGACCTCGCTACACAGGTCCAGCCTCCTGATGTTCCCAACTAGGTCATCTCTGCCTTGGGTGATTCCCAAGGGAAGTGGCTGCTAGAGGCAGAGAGCCACCTGGAGAGTCTGGCCTTATGGACAGAATGCTAATCTGGCTGCACGGAGCACAGGGCCTTTGAAAAGGCACTGCTTATGTGTTGAGCTGTTACTGCAAGGTCAGCAGTTTGAAACCACCAGCCGCTCCTCGGTAGAAAGGTGTGACTTTCTACTCCCATAAAGAGTTATAAACTCAGAAACTCACAGGGGCAGTTATACCCAGTCTTATAGGGTCACAATAAGTCAGCATCAACTCAATGGCAGTTAGCTTTTTGAGTCATATACATTGAAGGAAGCCTGGTCGTATATAGTAGGTTATGAGTTAGTTGCTAACTACAAGGTCAGTGGATCGAACCCACCAGCCGATCCTTGGGAGAAAGATAAGGCTTTCTACTCCTGCAAAGATTTACACTCTTGGAAACCCAGAGGGGCAGTTCTACCCTGTCCTGTAGAATCAAGCAATGAGTCATCATCGATTCCATGGCAGGGAGTTTGGCTTCGGTTTAGCCACACACTGTATATACTCGAGTATAAGCTGACCCGAATATCAGCCGAGGCACCTAATTTTACCACAAAAATTCTGCATTAAAAATGTGCTGAGGGCTTAAGTGGAGAGCAAATGTTTTGAGAATGAGGGCAATGAATGTACAAATTTGCTTTACACAATTGATGTATGTATGGATTGTGATAAGAATGGTATGAGCCCCTAATAAAATGATAAAAACAAACAAATAAAATGTGCTGAAAAACTCGGCTTATACATGAGTATATATGGTATATTCCTTTATTGAATCTCCATGACAATGCGGTGAAGACGTGATCAGTCAGGGGGCTGTAAGAGACAGAGACCCAGCTCAAACTGTTTTCAGCAAAAAGTACCACCATAAAGACTAGGCATGGATGAGGCCTCAGGCTTGGCTGGATCCAGGTGCCCACAGTAGTTGTACCCCATTTCTTATTCCCTTTCATAAGTCCAGGTCTCCATCCTACCATCTTTGTAACTTCACTTGATATAAAGCACCTGCTTTTTCCAGGAAAAGTTCCAAAGCTGATTATCACTGGGCCGGCTTGGCCATGTGCCCATTCCTGACCCAATCCCTGTGGCTGGGGGGGAAGGGACTCCACCCCTGGAGCTTGGAAGTGGGGTCAGCCCTCGTTCCAATCTCTTGGGCCAAGAGTGGGCGTGGGGCGGTTGCCAGACTGTGGAGGCAGAATAGTTGGCGAACAGACAGAAATAGCAGCTGTCTACTGTCCCCGGGATTCTCTTCCTCCCCCTCCTTTTACACACACAGAAGCAGAGGCCCTGGGTAGTCATGTAGTTCATGGTGGAGCAGGGATTTGAACTTGGTCTCTGAATCCTGGGGCCTGGCCATCATCCATTCCTCAGTTCTGATCGTTGTCTCTTCACCCTGCTCCTCATCCTCACAGAACCTAGCCTGCCCACTGTGGGCTCAGACTCTGCCAACTACGGTGGCCACCGCATGGTGCCTTGACACCATCTGCAAGGGAATGGTCGCTAGTCTTTAATCTCCAGAGCCCAGAAACGGTGGCAGTATGGTTATAATCGAAGCCGGCTTAGCTCAGATGCACTGTGTTCTGATTCACTGGTTGATTTGAGATTGATTTGCGGATCGAGCCATCTAGATCAGCATCTCATTCAACAAGCATTCACTGAGCATCCCCAGGCACCAGGGAGGGTGGAAGGAACCTGGGTTACAGAGAAGGCCAAGGCAGGGCTTCTGTCTCAAAGCTCCTACCTTGTCTCCTGCTCCCCTTGGTGTTTGGGGCTCCCATTCATCCTAAAGCTCACCTTGGCTTCTGCTAACAGCTTGTGAACCCAGCACCTGGAGACACACCACATCCTTATCCCCTGCTCTTGTAAGAAACTCCGTGGCATCGTGGTTACGGGGTGGCCTGCTCACCAAGAGCAAGGTCAGCTCTTTGGAACCACTAATTGTCCCATGGGGGGGAGATGAGGTTTTCTGCTCCCATCTTAGAAGCCCACAGGGGCAGTTCCGCCATATCCTATAGGACTGCTCTGAATTGGAATCCCCTCGATGACAGGAAGTTTGAGGTTTTTTGGTTTTGTTTGGAACCCAAGGCCGCATCAGACAAAAACAGGAGGAGGGGCCCAAGGGTCCAAAAAGCCTTGTTAGCATGCCCAGAGTCCCGGACTTTCCTGGTGTGGCCTGAGTCCGGCCAGTCCCCATGTCTCCCTCCACAGCCCTCCCTGCATCGGCCACTCGCCCAGCCCCATGTGCTGTGTCTTGCAGCGGATAAGGCCGTCTCCATGCAGCAGGGGCTGTGCTACCGGTCGCTGGGACCAGGGGCCTGCACCCTGCCTCTGGCCCAGCGTATCACCAAGCAGATATGCTGCTGCAGCCGCGTGGGCAAAGCCTGGGGCACCGAGTGCGAGAAATGCCCCCTGCCTGGCACAGGTGACCCTCCCCCCGACTTGGCCACCATGGCCACTAGCCCCCTGTCCCCCATCTGGGTGGTGGTGGGCCTCTCCCTCCCTTCCCTCCCTGCCCAGCCCCTCATCCAAACCTGGGCTCTGTCCTTACTGCCTCTGCTACCTGACTTCCCTGAGCTTCTCTGCCTGCTGTCGACCCTGCAGAGGCCTTCAGGGAGATCTGCCCAGCCGGCCACGGCTACACGTATGCGAGCTCAGACATCCGCCTGTCCATGAGGAAAGCCGAGGCGGGGGAACTGGCCAGGCCCTCCAGGGAGCAAGCGCACAAGAGCAATTGGACGCTGTCTGGGCCAGCCGAGAGGCAGCCGCTCCGGGCAGCCACGGGCACCTGGCTTGAGGCTGAGACCCCCACTGACAAGGGTATCTGGCTGGGGCGGGATGCCCCCTCCCCTCCGAGGTTGTAGCACACCCCCAAGCCAGCAGTACTTCCTAGTACATCAGGGCGCTAGGAAAGGAAGCTGGGAGCAGCTGCAACCCAGCCCTGGGGGCCCTCTCCCATGGCCTGGCCTGCCAGGAAGGGCTTGACCCCCTCCTCTCCCATCTAGACACAGGGGAACCACTTCTGGAGGCAGAAGAGGCCAACAATCGCCTCCCCACAGCTGACCAGTCCCTCCTGCCCCTGCCATGCCTCCTCTGGGTGGTTGCTTCCTACTCACCCCCACTGCCCCTGCCCTCGACCCAGTAGGCAGAGGGCCAGAAAGAGCCTGGGCTTGGGGTGCCCCTGTAGGTGCCCAGGGAAGGCATGAGAGGCCCGCCCAGGCTCCGGGTAGCACCGGCTTCCAGGTGGCCCCGAGCATATGAGGAACAGGTGGCCTGTGAGCAGGGGGGCCAGCTTCTGCACCAAGAATCAGGGGCAGTCAGAGGAGGGGGGGACAGAGGCCGAGGCCTCGTGGGAACCGGAGACAGGCCAGGCCAGAAGCTCCTCTCTTTCCTAGAACTGGTTCCCCTGACCCACAGCCCAGGGCAGGGGGCCGAGTGAGGCTGAGGGGGATTTGGGAGGGGGCAGGAAGCAGTGTAGGGAGGGAGGTGACAGCTAGGACAGCTGGGACAGATTGGTACAGGGTGGGGTCGGGGGGTTCTTGTCCCTGGAAAGCAGGTGAGAGGCTGAGGCCTTCCAGACCTGGGGGTTCTGGGAGTCTGTGGTGGCCAGCCCCGCCCGAGGGGTTGGGTGTGCAGGCAGGTAAGAGAATCCAGTCAGGGGCAAGGCTGGGAGGGGGCAGGTTCCGAGACAGCCAGGGCTATGGGTAGGACAAGGGAGGGCAGCCAGCCTGTCCTCCGTGAGCTCATGCCCCGATCTTTCCCTCCCCAGGTGGCTCTCCGGCTGTCCAGGTGAGTGAGTGCGCCATCCAGGAAGCTGGGCCAGGGGCAGAGCAGGGCCCGGTGGCCCTGAGGTCCCAGGGCAGTGTACCCCTAGGGAGGAAAGGGAGAGAAAGGGAGCGCCCTTGAATGTGACTCTGAGCAAGAGGTCATGAGGTGGGAGGGGTGCTCCACAGACCTCCATGGTCCCCCAAAAGAACATCGCGCCCTCGCCTGTGTGGGGGGCTGGGCTGGCGGACTCCCCTCTCCTGAGGGCCCAGAGCCGGTTCTAGACACACTCTGGCTCTGGCAAGTTCTGAGCCCATTGTGCTGAAACCTCCAGGTCTCCTCCGGGAGGGGCTCATGGGGAAATAGAGGCCCAGTGTGAATCACCTTAGCCCATTTTCCTGGGGGAAGGGTACTGCCCAGGATTCCCCTGAAGAACTGGGGGTCTTCCTAGAAGAACATTCCAGAAGAGTACATCCTCTTCCCAGGAGAGTTCACCTCTCCCACCTGAATCCCCGACTGCCCCCGAATACTCACGCGATGTTCTTTCAGCATAGCCCTCCCGTCCTCCCTCCTCACAGACCCCAGCAGGCCCTGTCCCTCCATCCTGGGCTGCCCTTTCTTCCCTTCCAGCTGTTCTGCCTCTGTCCCCAGGCAATGGTGAGGGACACCAGGTGCCGTGCTAGGGCCCAGTCTCACCCCCACTGACTCTGTGACCCAGACTCTGACGCCGGCTAGTGTAGTTAGGCTCCAGAGCAGGCCAGCCTGGATCTGCGATGTGGGGCCTGCAGCATCCGCACGACGCTCTCGGATCCCGAGGGGCATTGCAGTCCCTCCCTCTCGGGACAGGGCAGAAGGTTAAGAGGCCAGCGGGGTCGCTTGTCAAGTCCTCAGAACTCGCCCACGCCCAGAGTGAGTGAATGAAGGAGTGAATGCGTGAAAGAGCGAATGAGGGAGTCGGACAGAAAGCCTAGAGGGGAGGGTGAGCCTGATGGGCGTCAGCCAAGGCCGACCTGCTCTCCTCTCTGTGCAGGTCACCACCAGTGCTGCCCACACACCTCCCAGGGTCGTAGGTGAGTCCCTCTTCCTGGGGAAAGAGAAGGGATGGGGTGGGAGGCAGAGGGAGCAGCGGTCAGCTGGCAAAGTGGTCGCCGTTGCTGCACCCCAGGGCTCAGATCGGATGAGCTTGTGCCTGAGCTAATGTGATGTATTGTACGTGAGTCTCTGGAACTCAGCGAGAGCCCCTGGGGCTTCCTAGCCTCCAAGCCCGTTGGACTGTCCTGCTGCTGCTCAGCACAGACGCCAGCCTGCAGAGGAGGCAACAGCTGGGGCAGGGGACGCTAGGTGCCCAGAGCACTTCTCCCCAGCTGCCTGTTGTCCCTCCCAGGAGCTCTGGGGCTCTGCAGAGGGCCAGGTCAGAGGCTGAGCTTCAGCCTCCTCCACTTAGCCAAAGGGCCACTCTAGCCTGCCCTCTGCCCCCACCCCCCACCCCCGGGGCATATAAAATAGCACTCCTGTGGCCCAGCTCAAACTGTGAAGGGCTTCGTAAACAGAAGGGACAGGAAGCTGGCGTGGGCGGCAGAGGACTGGGCCGGAGCCCTGCCTCCAGCCAGCTGGCTGCCCCTGGATGAGGGGCCATTTCTGTGAGCCTCAGTCTCCCTGCCTGTGAAGTGGGGTCAGGCTGGATGACTCAGAGGCTCGCTAGAGGTCAGGTCAAGTGCCAGACGGGTGCCCTGCCCTGGACCCCACCCTTGGTTCTTGGGCGTCTGAACAGCGTTCTGGACAGAACACTCCCCTCACAGCTCCCCCTCCTGTCAGCAGATGTCCTGGGAGGACCCACGCCACGCCCCATCCCTGGACAGGTGATTCAGGAGACCTGGGAAGAAGAGCAAGTGACCTCCCCCACGGACCTCCTCGTGACGCTGGGCTCCCCAGGTACCCGCAGCTGCCCTGTGGGGCCTCTTGGTGTCTTCCCCTGTGTGGAGCTGACTACAGAGCAGGGGTGTGAATGGAACTCTCTAGAGTTCTCTGTGGGAGCTCCAGCCCAGGCTGGAGGGCCCCAGCCTCCCCTAACAAAGAGCTCCAGGTTCCCTCCGTGAAACCAGGGGTCTCATCTGGAGCCTGGTCCAGCCTGGGTGTGGAAAGAAGGGACTCTGTGGGGAGGGTCTTATTCTAGGAACTGGGGTGGGGGGAGGGAGGGGAGGGGAAGGGGTTCTCAAGGAAGGATCTCACGGACCTGGTCTCTGAGCTGCCAGTACAGGCAGCTTACCCTGAGCCAGCTGAGTTCCTGGAGTGGCGATGTCCTTTCAGCCAGTGTTGAAGGTTATTCAGGGTTATTAACCACTAGGATTCTGTGTTCCCCTCCTAGGACTACAACAATGGGGTGGGGTGGGGGCGGTCCCTGGCACGCCTACCTTGCTCTGGAATGTGTCCTCCTTAAAGGCTCATTGTTTGGGGACTTGGCATTGTCACCGCTGCCCCCTCACACATGCCCTCACCAGAGCGGTTCTGGCTTTCCCAGGCCTGATCCAGTGTCCCGCTGACCTCTCCCTGGACCTCTCTCCTCAGGGCTCAGGGCACTGCTCCAGGGAGCATCTGGTTCCCTTCTCTGCTCAGGAAGCAAGATGTGCTTGGCTCAGGGGCTCAGCTGGGCATACTGAGTCTCAGACAAGGGAAATGGGCTAGGGGGCAGGTGGCAGAGAGCAGGATCCAGGCTTAGCAGCCGCTCTTATCCATGTGTGGGGACAGAGTCCCCCCACACCACCACCATGTCCAGCAGTCTTGCCCGGTCCCCACTCTTCTTTCTGTAGCCGTTCACCTCACTCCTCAGCGCAGATGTTTAGAACCTCTGGGAGGGGTCCCCCGGAGTCCCCAAGTTAACTAGCTGTGAGCCAGGCCGGAGGACAGGGTAGCCTTATAGGTGGACCAGCATGCATTTCAATTCAGTCTCATTTAGCAAATACATCAGCCAGCTGCTGGGCCACTTCCCACGCCATGTCCAGGGTCTCCAGGGTTAGCTGAGTGCTGTCGGGGCAGGGGAATCCCTGGCTGTGTGGGCTGCAGGCTAAGACCTTAGTGGACAAGAGACTGACCGTATCATTCCCTCATTCATCCATCCTTTCATCCATTCACTCATCCATCTATCCTTCCGTCCGTCCATCCATCCATCCTTCCATCCATTCACTCATCCATCTATCCTTCC